AGAGCGTCGCGTCCATCAAGCAGATGTCAAAGTGGCCGAGATTGCCTAGTCACTTTGATGTTGATAATTTTCGATCTGTCTTTTGATTGGCCGGCAAATGAAGCGGCGAATGATGCTCGTTGGTCGGGCCAACCATGTCGATGAGCGAGTGGTTTTCACCCACCATTTCTGCAAGTATCAACTTACCAATGGGTTAGTGTCAATTATTAATACGAATAATCAAGTGGGGCTGGCAAACCATTGCAAACCAGTGGAAAATGCCACTGGTTTGGGGGCCACTTGATTCTACAGTCGTGTCAAGATACCACAAATATATATGTGGCTTTTGAGCATTTTTGAGCATTCTTTTACATTAGACACCACATGGACAGGCATGCCGTTGCCTGCTGTCCTGGGTCAGGATACCGCTGTGACGGTGCGATACAAAGCCGTGGTGCGATGCCACGAGGTTGATTCTTCTCGTTGCTGAGATGCTCACGCAGCAGCGTCGCACGCAGCCGTCGTGTCGCTGTAGTGACAACGACTCGTGCATCAGGACATCGATAACCCATCTGAGACTTAAGTAGCCGCCTCACGCTGACGCTGCACCCGTGTCTGCATTGATACGCGGACGAAGCCAACGCCACCACACGGCGACCGGCCGCACCCACGAACTGCGACGGCTGTGCCACGTGCGCCGACACACAACAGGCGGTACGTCACAGTGGTTGTCTGCTTGTGTGCGGCAGATGCCACTCTCGGCCACCGCGTCGTCGATATATCGAGATTCCTCGCAACGAGTGGTTCAGATGGGTCGTCGGGACGAGTGGTCGGCGTCGCCATAGTTTCGATGCCCGCGTGGTGCCACGTATAGGCCTTCTTTTATTGGACTTCCATCATTAAAATACAGCTAAAAACCAACCCCATCAAGTGACGCGCATGCCATGCGAGCTTGCTTTTTGTATGCCACCGCAAACCCGCCGCTGGCACATGGATTAAAAATATGATATTTTTATTCGTGAGCCGCAAAAAAAGACCACCCGCGCACCCATTTCGAAATCCTCGGCCATATATTTCCAAGCTCTGTGCTTGTATTCTGTCAATATATGCAATTGTACACAGAATTTGAGTATGTACATGCCGTTGAACTTGACAGCGCGTTTCGATGTGGCAGATGCCGAATATAGCTGTCAAATTTGTGTTGCCACAGCATATATTAGCACGGCCAGCGACAATATTGGAGGGCCGATATGCATATTCACGCCTCGGCTTATGCCAGCGACGTTGCTTTCCAAAAGATTCCATCGCCCATGGCCGGTACGCCCTCCCCCGCCGCCCCGACGATCGCGGTCGCCGAGGTCCGCCATGGCAGCGTCACCAAGAAGATCGCTGTCTACGAGAAGATGCGCCCGAGCGAGCTCAACCTGATGCTGCATGCGGCCTTCTTCGCCCAAGGAGCGCCCGAGTGGGCGACGGACGCCGTCGGCTTTGCGCATGCCAAGACCAAGACCTTTATCCCGCTTGCGATTGGCACGGCCTTTCCGACGCTCTTCCAGCCCAACCACACGTACGAGCTTGTGCTGGCCAAGGCGGCGGCGACGACGACGACGACGCCACCGCCAGCCATGCCCTCGTCGCGCCCATGGACCGAGCGGCTCTACGCGCTCTTGTCGCAATGGAGCGCCACGTCACCGTCGGCACTGAGTCCCGATCAGCTGAATCGCCTCGAGCTTCTCATCGGTCAAGGCCACCCCGTGCTCCGACAGGCGTATG